TCTTTCCCTCTCTCCCCCTCCCTTTTCTTTCTTTCTTCCCTTTCTTTCTCGCTTTTCTTTCATTTTCTCTCTCTCTCGCCCCCTCCCTTTCTTTCTTTCTCCCTCTCTCTCTTTCCCACGTGGCAGGATTTCTTTCTTTCCTTCCTTCTCTCTCTCTCTTTCTTTCCCTCTCTCCCCCTCCCTTTTCTTTCTTTCTTTCTCTTTCCTTTCTCCCTTTTCTTTCTTTCTTTCTTTCTCTTTCCTTTCTCCCTTCCCTTTCTTTCTCCTTCCCCACAAAAACCCTCCGTCTTTCCTCTTTCTTCTAGCCTTTCCTCCTTCCCTTCCCTACAAGGTGACCTTTATTTCCTTCCTTCCCTCCCTCCTTCCTTCTCCACTAAATCCTTTCTCCTGCCTTTCTTCTATCCTTCCTTCCCCCTTTTCTCCCTTCCCTTCCCCCCTTTTTCCTTTCTATGCCACTCCATCATACGCTTTCCCACCTCTTCTAAATCCAAGGGCATGCAGAGAAATCTTTTCCCCACAAGCCCCCCACCAGCCTCCCTTCCAAACCAGGTAGAAAAATTAACTCTTTCTTGGCCTGCCTCCCGAATTGCCCACGTCCTTTTCTGGCTCCTGTTCTTCCGCCTTTAACAGGTATCTCAGCTGGCAGGGAGATTTTGGCAGGGAGCACACTCAGTTTCCCCTGACCTCATATTCAGTTGTCTGCGGGTCAAACTGCTCTTAAAGAGCACAAGGCAGAACACACTGTTTTTTTGATCTGAGCGTGGAACACCCTTATAATGAATAGCTGTGCATCAGCCTAGAAGAATTTCCCCCCCTTTTTTTTTCAGCCACCAAACTTAACTAAGTTTCCTTTAGTGTTCTGGGAGCATTCTGGTCTAAAGCCAGAAATTAGTTTTACATATTGCAGAAGAAGGAGGGTTGGGGGGGGAGGGAAGAATTATACACCAGAGGAAGCTAAGAGGAGGTTTTGTGCAGTTTGCAATTCAGCATATTGTGGGGATCCAGAACTTGTCTTGGCATGTGATGGGAACCAGGTCATAATGTGAAGTTTTTATGTGAATTCTTCCAACAGGGCCTGTGATGTGAGTAAATATGTCTGGGTCTAGGGTTAAAGATTGGGTGTTTTCCTAGCTGACTTTAGGGTTTAATGATAGATATTTTGCTCAGTCGGGTCCAGAGTTTAACATTTGGGTCTTCTACTAAGCCAGTTCTAAGATTTAATGTTGAGTAAAACCAGTCATAAGGGCATTGATGCTTGATCTGGGATTTCCACACAATTAACCCCAAAGAGAGATGAAAAGGAATTCCTTACAGGTGGTCCTCAAATTATGACCACAGTTGGCACCGAAACTTCTATAGCTAAGCAATGCAGTTATTAAATGAGGTGCACCCAATTATACAACCTATTTTGCTATGGTCATTAAGCGAATCCAGCTTCCCCCATGGACTTTGCTTGTCATAAGTCTTCTGGGAAGATCCTAATTGGAGATCATGAGATCTATCCTATTTATGATTATGCAACTATCATTAAAAAAAATGCTGGTTGCCAAGCCCTTAAATTTTGATAACGTGACCATGAGATGCTGTGCCTGTCATAAGTGCAAGGACTGGTCAGAAGTCACCTTCTTTAGCTTCAACAGTGGTTAAACCAATGGTCGTAAATTGAGGGCTATCTGCATTGACGCATCTCTAAGAAAGGGAGCTGGGGAATCTTGGGTTCAGATCTTCCGTTATAGATTTACAAAGGAACTGCTCATCCTTCCAACTGAGGTTTCTTAGCTCAGGTAGTCCTCAACTTATAACCATAATTGGGGACAGACTTGCTAAAACAAGGCGATTGTTTAAGTGAGCTGCACTCAATTTTATGATCTCTTTTGACCTGGTTGCTAAGCAAATCAT